TAAATAAGTAGTTTCAAACTGTAGATTTTTTTTTTTAAAATTTCTGGATTCACTAGGCAAAAAGTCCAGTCAAAATGTTGCAACTAAGTAAAGCAGAACTTGTGACCTCAGCATATTCTTTTCTGCTTACACTTTGAGATAGAAAGCCATGTTTTATAAACTGTGATAGGAAATGCTGAGGTTCTGGAAAAAGAAAGTAAGGTAGATATATGTAATGACTTCACATTAATTACAAAGGAATACAAGGCAGCTAACTCCCCCTCTCTATAAATAAATATTAACAATTCTGGACAAAAAGGACAAATAAAAATGAAAGACTGAAAGTGAAATTAAGAAGAACTAAAACAAGGAGAAAAAGTAATAGTTTCCCAGTGTAGAAAGGCCTTGAAGGAAGCAAAGATGGAAAGATTACAGGATAAAACTTATTTTCTGCCATCCTCTTAAGTTCTTTCTGCTGAACCGTATAGTCACCATCTTTACCACATGGCTACACAGACAATCCTAACACTCGTTATTCTGAGCACCGTATGACTTCTCAGAAGGGCCTTCTGAATGCTGGCTGCAGTCAAGCTGGCCAGACTATGCCAGGAGAGGATTCCAAGCCAGAATCCTCTTTTGGGGATTTCTCCTTTCAAACTCAGTACTTTTTCAACTTGGCAGGGGGATTGATGATGATCTGCAGAGGGCCCTTCCAACTCTAACTATTCCGTGATTTTGTGATTCCCTGAGGAACTGTGTGGAGCTCAGACACCAAAACCAGATCAATATACATTCAAAATTAGATTCTTTCAGATCTGGCTTAGAAAGGAATGTTGCATTGGCAGATCTCTATTGTTTGAAAAATTGGACAAAAATGTATACAATAAATGCCAACAATACCAGTCATAAGGTCCTTCTTCTGGGAAAGTTCCTGAATTAAATTACTTGCCTGGTGGTATAAAATGTGATTTTGTTACCACTGCCTATCCATACCAGACCAATATCAGCAAGGCCACAGTGACTCTATGTATGTATACATCAATATATATGCACACATACAAACATCCCCCATATATACAAATAGGTAGGGATCAACAGAAAGAGAAAGGAATAAACAGTTTTCAGAATTCATGTTAGTTTTACAGAATTAAACGATAAATAACATTGGATTATAAATAATCAAAACACCCCTTGACATATAAAGTCAGGATATGACTGAGAAGTAAACACAAAAAATGTGAATATAAAGAAGTTCAAAATAAAAAAAAACCCTCTTCTAATAACATGCAGGATCCAATCCTGCATTCTGTTTTTCTAAAATTCCCCAAGTTCAACTGAAGCCAAAGTAGTTGAAGGCTTTCACTACAAGAGCAGCAGGCTAGGAGTCCAAGAATGAAATCTTGTGCTGCCATCTGAAATTAGAGTAAGCAGAAGAGACAGCAATGCTAAAACAGTTCAAATCTATCCACACATTTTCCAGACAAAGAGAACCCAGTACCGTGGCTTTAAACTTTAAAATTATATGCTGAAAATCATCGTGGTCATAGCCTTATGTGGGGCTTTCATACTAGAACACATATCACCTGCATCTTTGCTAACAATACAACCGAAAAGACTTTTCAAAACAAAACAGGTCAAACAGCGTTAGTTAATACAAAGGGTGTTTGGGCTTTTCTGTAGTTACTGTGAGCAGGAGAACAATTGACACTGTTAAACATCTGTCTCATGCACCTGACAGTAAATGAAGAACACTTAATGGAAGAGAGAGATATTTAAAGGATCTCTTCACTACCCATTAAAAGCTAACTCAGCAACCAACAGAAATAATGATTAAGACTTTGAACAAAGACACAGAAAACAATACAACCTTCACAACAGTATTATATAGCTAAATGATAAATATGGAGTCTAATAAGCACAAATACAAGAACTTAAAACAAACATTGGTCTACGCAAGATATAGAGCATGACAGCCAATACACCTGAGTAGCAAAATTAGGTCAATCAGCTCCACGATGACTGCAATCTGTACTCAGTATTTAGCAATCAGACAAGGGGAAACAATCTTTCCAATGCTAGGTATCGGCATGACAACTACAGCGGCCCATTCTCTGAAACTCTGTGATGACAATGTCTTCCTTCCACGCAAATGGAGCACAAAGTATTCCCACAAGGAATATACCATACACTACCCCACAAGGACATATTCAGCACTTAGCAAGTTTCAGGAAATGCTCATGTTCTCTTGTGTCCATTCCCACTAAGGCTAATGAAGTCTTTGCGAGAGTGATGGGTAGGCACAATAATTCTGGGAAGACTAGCTGGAAAACCCAAATCCTTGAACTGACAGTTAGCTTGTACACACTACTGTTAGCTTGTACACACTACTACTGTCTCCTCTTTTTTTTCCTCTCCAAACAGAAGATATTTCAAAATCATTGGAAAAATGGGGTTAACATTGTGCATAAGCACTTCAGTTATTAACTGGCTCACATTAACAATCAACCAAGCTAACATAACAAACAATTCTTGTTACTCAAACTGGCGTCATTGTAATGAGCTCCAAATTAATCTCATCCGTACACAATCACTAATCTTGTTGTGTGCCAACTGGATTTTTAATCAGAACGGAGTGAATCATAGGTTGTTTTTAAAATACATTTCTAATACTTGTCATCCAAAATGAATACACACTAGAGCAGGGAAGAACTTTCCTATTTACATTCTGAGAAGCTGATTTTATTTATGCCTAGTAGACACACAGGTATCAAATGCATTCAACAGGAAAACATTTTTAATGAGAATAAAGAATAAAACTGTTTATTTCTAATAATGCTTTGAGCATGAACGGCATCACCAACCTAAAGAAGCTAGCCCTCAGACTGTAATTAATACTATATGACAAACCAAAATAAATGGACCACTTGCCCCTCTGTTGAGTTGCTCCATAATGCCTACATCATTCTAGAAGATGAGCATGCACACAATCAGATCCTGCAACCAGCAGAGTAACTTCTGGTAAAACATGTAATGAGGCATATATTTTGTGGCGCTGAACTTGAGACTCCAGCAGTTTCAAACCCAAGTGCCTAATATTTGTGCAAGGTACAAAAGCAAAGATGAGTTTTAATAAGCATTTTCAGCTTGATTCTGCAATTGTATTGTCAATGAAAGAACACAGTTGATTATCTCTGCTTATAACAACAAGGGTGCTCAACATATCACCCCACTGCTGAAATGCTGGCCCAACCATTTAGGAATTCTCTGAGAAAAAAAAAAAAAGATACCATGAACTCTTCATCTACAGCATCTACTTTTTAAAATGCAGTATTTCTGGAATCTTGCTTTAGCTGTCTGGCTAACAGCTGCTTAACTGAACACCTGTTACCACGGTCAAATGAAAACCTAACTCGAAAGTCTGCCCATGGCCATGGAAACTGAAGAGTGACTGATCTGCAACACAGCCATTCAAATGTCTTCAGGGAAGTCTACTGCCAGCTTCTATTAGAGCCACACGAGCTTGTGGAATCTGGAGTACCTGGTTCTTGTTTCAAGCTAAGCATAATGCCTGACTCAAGCCACGCAACAGCATGTGATGACTTCTTGGAAAACGAGACAGGCAGACGAGAGCAGCGCATGAAGGCTCAATGTCAGAATTCCCACAGATCCGACGGCACATATTACTTGCTCGGAGACTGTACTCCTCATTTAATAAAATCTACATGCTTTTGTGCATGGTAGATTCTGTTTTGATTGCCAGGAACTCTTGCATCAGAAGTATTTGAAGATTGCTCAAGATTAGGGCATTAAATTACGGTCAACGTGCTAATCTGTATTTTACTTCTAGTCAGTAGAAAGACATGTTAAAGCATTAAAGAATTCTGCTCATGTCTTAGAATTTGATTAAAATTATCTTCATTAAACAGCTCTCACATTTGTGGAAAAAAAGGGAGCTATTCGAATATTTAGCACAATAACCAAGTTATTGTTAATGTAACATTCTGAAGAAAAACTCTACACACCAGAGGGAACATTAAACAGCAAATGCAAAAGCAAAAGTACGCTATACAGACCAAAGCTGCAAGGTGGAGATAACACACTCCATACCATCAGATGGACTGCAGGAGAATGACCAAGGACTTTATCAAAAGAGATTACATTTACCTAGTGAATGCTATAGAAAGGCATAATGACTAAAGTAAAACAAAAACTGTTGGTTTGCAAATTTCTTCTTTGGTTTCTTTTAATTAATTTTAAATAGGCTGGTTAATATCTCATTATGTATCAAGATATATTCTTGGGCAGGATGAGCTCGCTAGCCTTCTGGCAGTCATCCTAGGAGAAGGACAACTCTAATCCCAAACCCAGGCAGATGGAGCTCGCTTAGCCCTGTAAGGCCATCCATCTAAGAGAAGGTCACTCTAATCAAACCTACGTCCTGAGGACCTCGCTGCCACCGTCCAAGCTCGCTCAGCCCTGGCAGATGAACCTTAGGATTAAAGGGTGGGTTCAGTTCCGCGCATACTACATCTCACCTAAAAAATCCTTTGCGCAGGTTTGAAGGCTTTAACACAGAAAGAATCGTGCCTTGCAGAATCTACCATCTAAGGAGTCTTTCTGCTGTGCCTTTTGCAACCGGACATCTTTACACAAAATTATGCTACTTCTTTTTTTAAGAAATAAATGCTTTTTAAAGACACAATTTATCAATCATTTTTTCTGAGACAGATCATTTAAGATGGTCAGATATTAAATAGACATATTTTAACAGATACTCCGAATAGTTATTGTAAAGGTAATATTGTCTTGATTAAAATGCTTTAACATACACCACCCCACCATTTACAGATTCAACTTTAAATCACACTAGAAAACAATGTGTTTATACTAACATAAAAGTGAGATAAAAGGTAGGTTTCTTCTTTACTTTGCACTGTTGGAAAATTTCTGTTGCTGAAGCTATTCTAAAAAAGTCAAGACTCCTTGCATGGTGTAAAATTCTCAAACAGCAAAGTACTTACATGCAAGGCAGAAGGATCAGGCAAAAATTCAGCATCCTCTCCAAAGATAAAATCTGGTGGCAGGTCAGGATAGTGAGCATTGAAAATTATATCCCCTGAAAAGCAATAAATGAAAACACTGTTTGCACTTCTACCTATGTGCTTAGAAATAAAAAATAATCACATATGACATACATTTTTAACACAGAATTTAATAGTGACATTAAAAATATTTCATGTAATATTTCATCCATGTAATTTTTACAAAAATTCACATGCAAGATAAGCATCAGATGTTTTGGGGGATGAAGTCAAATTCCTGAGGCACAGCTTCCTCCTCCTCTGCAAGCAATGAAACATGAAATACATTTTTGCTTTGTATCTCAAATGGCATTGCAAACATTATTGAGGGTTGCCTCAAAACACCAAGTTTGAAAAGAGATCTTGTTTTAATAAAAAGTACCATATTTAGATGGCTGTGTTTTGTTTATTAAGTTAAAGTCAATCCCAAACTACTAAGGCCCACGATTTTCAAAATACCGGAGCTTTTAAAACTTAGTAGCACTTACTCCCTCTTCTCCTTGCCACCCCCAACTCTTTGAAGGAAGAATACACAGTTCAACAGGAACCATTCCAACTATCCAAATTCTGGCCAAGAGAAATGCAGTATTACACATTTAAATGGAGAGACTAAAATTAAGTAAAAATATAAAACTTCATCACAGCTTGACACTGAGTTGTCATCTTGCCAGTGTCACAAGATATGCAATTAATCACTGATGTGATAGTTTAAAGAAATTTGGATTGCACTATTTCACTGGTAAACATACTTCAGAGTTCATATAGATCAAGAGGTGGTCATATGCATCTGAGCTTTTAAAAAAGCCTTTCATAGTCCAAGAAAAAGTTAAAAAAAATAAAAATAAATGTTTCTTGCCTTACTTGTCTAGCTCCCAATCATTCTTTCTTCTTTATGATGATACAAAAGAATAACTGAGCTTTTGCAGATTTGTGAGGTAGCAGACAGTAGAAGAAAAATAAGACAGTACCTACTATGTGTTACGACTTGTTTGAAATCCACACAGCAAAGTAAAACCAGTGTGGTAAGACTTATAAACAATTCTATCCAGAAAAAATTAAACCACTTTTTATTTCTTAAAAAATTATGAATGCAGATCTGGAAAAAAGCATTAGATGAAGAAATCTTGCAAAGCCATATTGCTGGCTCAGTGATATCACCATGTCAAGACATTTAACATGACAGTTTTAATTGCTGATATTCTGTAAACTTATCTTGGCTTTAGTTGGAAGCAAGGATGCTGTAAAGATTAATTGGTGAGGATGAAGGCTCATGACCAAGAAGCCAATGGCCAGTCTGCGGTAGGTATGCGCCAGAGTATTGCTCCAAATCACAAACTCACCGATCATGCGACTCAGTAGAGAACAGTGTGGGTTTCTCCTGTCCGCACTCCTACCTTCCTTTCACAACTGTCAGGAGCACGTGCAAGTATGGGGTGTAGAAAATAGCAGAGGTCTGCCAGCTGAAATTCCCAACACACTCAACATAAAAATCAACCTTCTATTTAATTTAAAAGAACGAAATAGGCACCAATCCTAGAGGAAATGGCATAAAATTGCAACAGGAAATGCATCTTTATTAAGCAAGAGAAAATTGCCTAAACTGTAAGACAGCAATGAAGAACTCAGAAAAGTTGATGTTTAGTAGACTGGGTAGTTCCTATGTCACCATAACGCAATCCTTTTCTTACTTTTACTGCAATTAAAATGTCATGTATGGCTCTTTACAACAACCTCACCAATTTCTACCAGTGAATTCGAGGTTATGTGTTTGTTGTACATTCTTTAACTGAGCTTTGATAGAGTGTTGTTATGAATAACTCAGAACACAGCACAACGAAAAAGCTTGGCCTGTGACTTAGATAGCCCAATGCTGCTCCAAAGGAAAGAACTGTATTTGTGTTTTTGCCATGTTCCTATGTGATGATAAGTAACTCATTTAACACACACTTTCCATACTGCAGTTGCTAGCTGCATGCTTTTCATTCTCTGTGTTCCTACTTTAAAAGAGTTGATGAAATAGAGTGTATATACCAACAGCTCAGCTCGCTAGGAGCTGCACTCCAACTATACACATACTACAAAAGGCTGCTTAGAATAAAAGAAGGATCAAAATAACTGCTTATTTTTTAGGTTATACCTCCATATTTGACTAGCATAAAACTATTACAGAACATTACATCATGAGATGGCTTCAAGACTCTGCTTGAGTAGTGAGATTGGTAATAAACTGTATTCACCTTTGTAAGCTCCACAGTCAACAGTGAACCTCAGGAAAGCTGTGGCAGTAGGTGCAACACAGAGGTTCAAGCAGGTACAAACTTTCCCTTCACAGCGTTTCCAGTTCTACCGCAACATGAAGTGAACAGAGCTCACAGCAAGCCCCAGATCATCATCATATGCAGTGCTCAGTGTAACAGTAAATTAAAATTGGCATTATTAGTTTAATACACGAGGCGGTAAACTTTTACAATTTGGGGTTCAGGTCCGCTGTGTATCCCACGCAGTGATTCCTGCTGTGGGATGAGAGACACTTGGAGAAGGTACCCTCTCTGTGGTCACACTGAGGTTGGGCACATCATGGTGCAGCTAGCCAAACCAACCTATTACCTACCTCACATGCTCATATTTCTTCTTTACCACCCTCTGTCATATCCCTTCTTCCATTAAATATCAGTGGCATATCAGTTCTTATCCACAGTGTGACCAACTATGCAGATATAAGTTTTCATGACCTACTGATCCCAAAGAACTATTCAGTACAAGGGACACAATCCAGAGTAAAAATTAACATTGTGATTTTTGCTTTTCTGTTACTATTACTTATAATTGATAAAATTGCTTCTACTTGTCCAGGGTAAACATGCCTCAAATTCAAACTCCCAAGTCCCTTTAATAAAAGTCATTTTGAGACCAAATGTATCAACATTAAAGCAGTGTGTATATTAAGACTATTTTTCCCTGTTGTGTAGTCATTTTCCAAAAGGCCATACGTTACATAGCTACATAGGTTCTCTAGGCTTCAAAACAAATAAAATCAATATTTCAGTGTCTGTTAATCATACAATCACAAAACACTATTGCTGAGACCATACTCAATACATTTTACAACCCCATGGAACCTAAAAATGATGCTGTTGTCCTTATTTTCTAACTAAACCAGAAACATATAATTTACACTCTCCTTCCTACAGTACTATGGGTTTTTATCCAAAAGCAAACCCTAATTTATTCTGCTACAATCGAGCCTCACAGAGGCTGGGTGACATTTTAATAAAGACAAAGAAGTTCAGAACAAAATTCCACTTCAATGTTAACAGTTAGAAAAGAGCAATGATTCTCTATCATCAGTGGTTTTCATTCTGGAAATACAGCATCTTACCATTAAAGATCCTAAGATCTGACCTTAGAACAAACATTTCATGTATTTAAAAAGCAAAAAGTATCCCCTCAGTCAAATCTTATTCTACTAAGTCTTACTTCTGCCATGAATCCAAACACATTTAGCTAGTTTCTAAAGCAAAAGAAAAACAAACCTTTTTTTGAATCATATCAGACAACCATCCTCATCATCCCTGGCCTCTCTAACTTTTCTGCTCTGTGATTTGCCTTTCCAAATAGTTTCACTTATGTCTTGCTCTGTCTTAGGACAGAAAAAGTAACACCTTTGACTCTTGAAGGCTTAAGCCTAAGGTCGGAGTTTGCCCTACTCTGAACTATGAGCATGAGCTATTTTCATAAGTTACACGTTCTCAACAAAAGTACACCATAACAAATGAGGCTACAGATTAAGGGAAACATCCTAAATCTGAGTTTGTTAAATACCACAATACAGAGAAACTAAAACTGCAGTTAACAGCTTGCTTGGCAGGGTTATGACGCATAAATAAAAAATGCTCCATTACACTCAAATAAAAGGTATTTAAACCATCACAACAGCCAACGCAAGTCTGGTTTCACTTCACATAAATATTAACACTAGTCTCTGCGTGAGCTTACAAAATATAAGGTGCTAAATATTTTGAATCACAAGCTAACAGTTCGTCTTGACCTAGTAGAAATATCCATTTTTGTAACAAGTACTTACATGATATTACCTGCGGCTTACCCTTTTCAAATATAAATGTGCTGGAGTAAATAAAAATAACACTTTTAATCAGTAAAGCCATTTGCAAAATTATTGTGCTTAGAGTTTGAGAATGGTTACCCTTTTAACCTGGGAAGAAAAAAAAACACTAAAAAGAAAAAATCAATATAGTCCTGCATTCTCTCCCCTTCTCACCTAAATGAAACAACTACCCTTTTCCTTGCATCTTCAGCACATGAACATGTAGTCTTTCATACATTTCAACTCTGTTTGCCCTTATTGCCCTGATGGAAGGCAAACCATGTGGTGTTTCACAGTGCTATTGACAATGACCATTCCAGTATAAGAGCAAGGCAAGCAAAACCTTCACACTCAGACCATACTTATCTTAATTCTGTAGATACACCAGCCAATAATTACTTTGGTGGAATTATATTTCCAATTACATACTACTACAGAATTCAAAATTACTTCAATAAAGTTAAAGTCATCAAATCAAAGATAAATTTAGAAGAAAAAGGATGTATCATACTCTGTTGCTTTTCATTATCCAAAAATATTACTTTCTTTTGCTTTTTTTCTCCTCAGGCAAACAGCATTAAATTTTGAAATACTTTACAGAATTTCAAAAGAAAAGTTAATATGCTCCCAATAGACAAAAAGATAGAAATATTAATACTTAAATCCATGATTTCTTTTAATATACATATGGGCTGTTCTTTTGTCATCTATCAAAATGTATAAGCAAATAAGCAATAAGACGACTACAAGCAAGACAGGTAGGTCTTACTCTGAAACTGAGAAATCTCTGAAATCCTTACAATTGCTCTCTACTGGCCTATTCTACACACAGTTTTTCTCCTCCTGGTAACTTCCTTCTGGGGGTATTCTTCTTTTGTTTTTTAACCACACTATAAGTTTGGTAGTATGGAAAGATGCTATGCTAAGAGT